TAAATGATCTCATTTTCTCTTTCTTTTTTTTCTTGTTGATGAAGAAGATGGTGGACGGTGATGGACAAGACAGAGACATGGCAAACGGTGGACAGAGACGGTGTTTGATGACGGTGGTAGACAAAACGGAGACATAGACGGACGATGGACATAGCGGTAGTTGGTGATGGTGGTGGACAAATACAGAGACGGTGCGACTCTGGACAAAATCGGAGACGGTGGTGGATGATGGACAAAAACAACGACTGTGGTTGTGGACAAAAACGGAGACGGTGGTGGACAACGATGAAAAATGGTGGTCGAAGATAAAGACAAAGATGGAGACGGTGGTGATGGACAGAAACGACGGTGGTTAATGGTGGACAAAAACAAATACGACGGTGGTTAATGGTGGCTAAAAACAAATACGACGGTGGATGGTGAAGGACAAAATCAGAGACGACGGTGGAAAAAAATACTGACTACGACTTATAGTCAGAGATAGAAATGTATTTTTTCCAAAATATGTACAATGTTTTGTGATATTTTTAAAAAGGTTTTTAGAATTATGGTACTTTTGAAATATTTTTTTAAGATTATCGTATTTTTAAATATATTCCCTAAAATCTAATAAAACAAAAAGTGGCTGATATAATGGTATGAACATCCTAATTAAATGTTTAATATAATTGTATGACCATCCATTTGCAGAATGTAAAAATTATTTTAAGTTTTAAATTTGATTATATTTCACCGTTTACATGAATTTTGTATTGTACGAATCATAGCCTCTTCTTATTCACTCTACAATCTCATTAAAACAATGTTCAAAGTTACACGAGCGTCTAAATTCGTTTTATTTATGATTAATGGGAGGCTCTGGTTAATGGCTCAATGGAAATTATAAGTGAGGCACACAAACACAACCACTAAAACAAAGAAGCATAGGTCTACTTTGACCCCTTAAGACACCCCACCCTTTTCTTCTTTATTTATTCTCTCTCGAACAAATATCTAAAAAAAAAACATTGCAGGTCTGCATTTTTTATTTTTTTAGATTTTTTTGTGTGTGCAAATTTCGACATTCTATATGATCATCTACCAAAGGTTATTTCCCTTCCCTGTGACAAAACACTACTTTTTTTTTTTTTGGCGTAAAACACTACTTATATGAAAGTTACTAATTTCTCATATGGCAATTTCATTCATGGGAAAATATATGAACGGGAATTTCTGTATCCACTTGACTACAGATTAGATTTGTTAGCAATAATATTTGTAACCAAATCATATATCAGTAAATTTTACCTACCACCTTCTACTTCTAGCATTATATAAACTGAATTGGGTTCATTAAACAATAAAGACCTGGTCCATTGCTATTCACTCTCATCTCCACGTGTTCTGTGGGTTTAATATATACCTAGTTTCGTCGAATACGACATCTTCAGAGATTTGATTACTCCATTTATAACCAAATATATATACACATGATATATAATCTAGTGGTTGGTACTAATATCCTCGATGCAATTTGATAATTTCATTCATAACCAAAATATCTTTACACAATGCAATTTTTATATCCAAAAGATTACAAATTAGATATGTTAATAGGAAAATAAATAGCGAAGTGAAACGGAGAGCCGGTTCGCCCTAAAGAATACTCTTAGACGCGATTTCTGAGATAGCCGCCAATTAGCGTCTCCTCCTTCATCTGTCTGGTGAACGGAAAGCCCCATTCTGATCGGATTTATTTGGTTCGGGTGAGACTTTCGTTACTCCCTACAGACGCAACTTGAACTCCCTCCGATGTTTATCTCTTCGCCGTCAATCCCTGCAATGACAAACAAAACGGAACTGCTCACCCCTGCTCAGTGTCGGAGGATGTTTGTTCGGTAGTCTCTGTACCCTCCCCTACCGCCGGAACCACCGGATCCATCGGACCGGGCTCGATCTCACACAGATTCTCTCTTCCTGCTTCTGTGCTACCGCCAGTATAGGTTTATCACCGCCCGCTCTCCCCATCTCCCCTTTCGCTTTCATTTCCGGCTCGACCAAGTCCAAGACTCCCACCGACGGGATCTCATATCGTCACCGGCGCATAGGAGCCTCTTTTTGCCGTTCAATCTGGTTGTTCGGGTACGGGAAACCGGACTTCTCAGCCACCACCATCACTCCCTGTGTCACCGCCGGAAAATCCACCCTCGGGGCCGACTCTCCCCCGTCTCCCTTTGATTCCAGGCTCGAGACTCTGTGTCTCAGACCTATGCTCGAAGGCCGAAAAGCCCTTTTTCTTCTCCTTCGCCGCGAGCTCTTGTCGGATTATCGATCCCATCCAATCCTTCTCTCGCCGGCAAAGATTCCCGGTCCGAGCTGGCTCCTCCGCGACTAAAACCGGCCGGAGTCCTCGCACATAGCTGCTGCCACCATCTGTGTATCCCGTCAACTCCTATTGAGATGAAATCTGGATTTTGGGTAATGCCCATTCTGAAAATTGAATATCATAGCCCAATAGGCCCATTGTTCAATTATTATTTGGTGATGTGTTCATACTCTCCAATAGCCTTAATTTTGGATGTGTATGACACTTTGTTAGGGTTAGTACCGGAACCGCTTTCATATTTTTCATCGATATTATTTGCTTTTGAGCTTATTGGATTCTCTTCTTTGAGAAGTCCAAAATTTTTTGGATTCTCAAATCATGTAGTTTAGTAATTATATCTCTTCTATTGTGAGAAGATACAAGTTTTCTTGGTTCTCAAACCCTGTAATTTACTCCCGGTAGAATAGTCTAATTCCACTTTCTTCCATCTCTTTGAGATTGGTCGAATCTCCGAGCTTTATGTCGGGTTCTTCAAAATCACAATGTAACGTGACTACCTTGAGACTCTCGGGCTTTGCGGCGAAGACCCTCTCGACGCATCTGAGACATGTTTTGGATTTGCTGTCCATCTACTACGATGATCTATCTGTTTTATGTTTTATCGCATTGCAATTATATTGTATAATGTGGGAAGATGCTTAATTCCCTCATATTGTACTTTGATCGGTTAAATTAATTAAAAGTTTGTTGACAAAAAAAAAAATAATAGGAAATTAATATCCAAGACCACATTAACCGTTTGTGATTTTTTTTTTTTGGTCATTGAATAGATATTATCTTCCTTTTTGATAAAAAAAAGAGTAGATATTATCTTCCATATTTAAAACAAAATCCATTGAAATTAAAGTGAGATCTTAAGTTTTCTATACA